ATCGGTATTGCTTCGTTCAGTTGTGTACTCTCTCCACACAATATCCTGTAACACATTCCTCTTCTTACATCCCACAAACTACTCTACCACACAACAATCCACTGCAACACATTCCTCCCTCTTCTTTGTATCCCATGTAAACTACTCTCTACCACACACAACAATTCACTCCTAACACATTCTTCCTTCTTACATCCAAGAAAACTACTCTCTACCATCCAACAATCCACTCTGCAATACCACATTCTCTTCTTCCTCTTCTTACATCCCAAAACTATTCTATTAAACACAACAATCCACTAAGACACATTCTTTTCCTTCTTACATCCCATTAACACTACTGTACCCACACAAAAATTCACTGCAACACATTCTTTTCCTCTTCTTTTCATCCCACAAACTACTCTACCACACACAACAATCCACTGTAAATGCATTCTCTTCTCCTTCTTACATCCCACAAACTACTCTACTCACACAACAATCCACTGCAATACATTCCTCCTCTTCTTACATATCCACAGACTACTCTACCTCACAATAATCCCACTGCAACACATTCCTCCTTCTGTATATCCACAAGCAACTCTGCCTCACAACACAATCCACTGTAACACATTCCTCCTTCTATATCCCACAAACTACTCTACCACACAATAATCCCACTGTAATGTTCTTCCTTCTTACATCCCACAAACTACTCTACCATACAACAATCCACTGCAACACATTCCTCCTTCTTACATCCCACAAACTACTCTACCACACAATAATCCCCTGCAATACATTCTTACTTCTTATATCCCACAAACTACTCTACCATACAACAATTCACTGTAACACATTCTTCCTTCTTACATCCAACAAACTACTCTACCACACAACAAGCCACTGCAACACATTCCTCCTTCTTATATCCCACAAACTACTCTACCACACAACAATCCACTGGAGGGGATTCTTCATTCTTATATCCCACAAACTACTCTACCACACAACAATCCACTGCAACGCATTCCTCCTTCTTACATCCCACAAACTACTCTACCACAGAACAATCCACTGCAACACTTTCCTCCTTCTTGTATCCCACAAACTTATCTCCCACACAATAATCCAATGTAGCACATTCCTCCTTCTTACATCCCACAAACTACTCTACCACACAACAATCCACTGCAACACATTCCTCCTTCTTACATCCCACAAACTACTCTACCACACAATAATCCACTGCAATACATTCTTACTTCTTATATCCCACAAACTACTCTACCATACAACAATTCACTGTAACACATTCTTCCTTCTTACATCCAACAAACTACTCTACCACACAACAAGCCACTGCAAGCACATTCCTCCTTCTTATATCCCACAAACTACTCTACCACACAACAATCCACTGGAGGGATTCTTCATTCTTATATCCCACAAACTACTCTACCACACAACAATCCACTGCAACGCATTCCTCCTTCTTACATCCCACAAACTACTCTACCACAGAACAATCCACTGCAACACATTCCTCCTTCTTGTATCCCACAAACTTCTCTCCCACACAACAATCCACTGTAACACATTCCTCCTTCTTACATCCCACAAACTACTCTACCACACAACAATCCACTGTAACACATTCCTCCTTCTTACATCCCACAAACTACTCTACCACACAATAATCCACTGCAATACATTCTTCCTTCTTACATTCCCCAAAACTACTCTACCATACAACAATTCACTGTAACACATTCTTCCTTCTTACATCCCACAAACTACTCTACCACACAACAATCCTCTACACATTCTTCCTTCTTACATCCCACAAACTATTCTACAACACAACAATCCACTGGAGCGCATTCTTCCTTCTTACATCCCACACACTACTCTACCTCACAGCAATTCACTGCAACACATTCCTCCTTCTTGTATCCAACAAACTTCTCTCCCACACAATAATCCACTGTAACACATTCCTCCTTCTTACATCCCAGAAACTACTCTACCACACAACAATCCACTGCAACACATTCCTCCTTCTTGTATCCCACACAAACTACTCTACCACACAACAATTCACTGTAAGACATTCTTCCTTCTTACATCCAAGAAACTACTCTACCATCCAACAATCCACTGTAACACATTCTTCCTTGTTACATCCCACAAACTATTCTACAACACAACAATCCACTGGAGCGCATTCTTCCTTCTTACATCCCACACACTACTGTACCACACAACAATTCACTGCAACACATTCTTCCTTCTTTCATCCAACAAACTACTCTACCACACAACAATCCACTGCAATGCATTCTTTCTTCTTACATCCCACAAACTACTCTACCACACAACAATCCACTGCAATACATTCCTCCTTCTTATATCCCACAGACTACTCTCTTGCCTCACAACAATCCACTGCAAACACATTCCTCCTTCTTATATCCCACAAGCAGCTCTGCCTCACAACAATCCGCTGCAAACACATTCCTCCTTCTTACATCCCACAGACTACTCTACCACACAACAATCCACTGCAATACATTTTCTTTTCCTTCTTACATCCCACAAACTACTCTACCATACAACAATCCACTGCAACACATTCCTCCTTCTTACATCCCACAAACTACTCTACCACACAATAATACACTGTAACACATTCGTCCTTCTTACATCAGACAAACTACTCTACCACACAACAATCGACTGCAGCACATTCTGCCTTCTTACATCACCAAAACTACTCTACCATGCAACAATTCACTGCAACACATTCCTCCTTCTTACTTCCAACAAACTACTCTACCACCAAACAATCCACTCTTACACATTCTTCCTTCTTACATCCCACAAACTATTCTACCACACAACAATCCACTGGAGCGCATTCTTCCTTCTTACATCCCACACACTACTCTACCACACAACAATCCACGGCAACACTTTCCTCCTTCTTATATCCCACAAACTACTCTACCACACAACAATCCACTCCAACAGATTCCTCCTTCTTATATCCCACAAACTACTCTACCACGGCAATCACTGCAACACATTCCTCCTTCTTACATCCACAAACTGCTCTACCACACAATGAAATCCCACTGCAAGACGTTTCTTCCTTCTTACATCCCAAAACTACTCTACCATGCAACAGATTCACTGTAACACATTCTTCCTTCTTACATCCAACAAACTACTCTACCACCCAACAATCCACTCTAACACATTCTTCCTTGTTACATCCCACAAACTATTCCACCACACAGCAATCCACTGGAGCGCATTCTTCCTTCTTACATCCCACACACTACTCTACCACACAACAATTCACTGCAACACATTCTTCCTTCTTACATCCCACAAACTACTCTACCACACAACAATCCACTGCAATACATTCTTCCTTCTTACATCCCACAAACTACTCTACCACACAACAATCCACTGCAATACATTCCTCCTTCTTATATCCCACAAACTACTCTACCACACAACAATCCACTGCAATACGTTCCTCCTTCTTATATCCCACAGACTACTCTACCACATAATAATCCAGTGTAACACATTCCTCCTTCTTACATCCCACAAACTACTCTACCACGCAACAATCCACTGCAACACATTCCTCCTTCTTGTATCCCACAAACTACTCTACCACACAATAATCCACTGTAACACATTTTTCCTTCTTACATCCCACAAACTACTCTACCAAACACTATAATCCACATCAATACATTCTGCCTTCTTACATCCCAAAAACTACACTACCACACAACAATTCACTGTAACACATTCTTCCTTCTTACATCCAACAAACTACTCTACCACACAATAATCTACTGTAACACATTCCTCCTTCTTATATCCCACAAACTACTCTACCAAACACTATAATCCACTGCAATACATTCTTCCTTCTTACATCCCAAAAACTACTCTACCACACAACAATCCACTGCAACTCATTCCTACTTCTTGTATCCCACAAACTACTCTACCACACAATAATCCACTGTAACACATTCCTCCTTCTTACATCCCATAAACTACTCTACCACAGAACAATCCACTGTAACACATTCCTCCTTCTTACATCCCACAAACTACTCTACCACACAACAATACACTGTAACACATTTTTCCTTCTTAAACTGTATACTAGAATCTTGAAACTGACCGCACTTCATACGACCATAGTTATCAGCACTGCAAAACGAGTCCTTTTTTGTCATGTTTACGTCTCTTAAAAAACTGCAGTTTGTCATTCCTTTTGCATATAGAGAAGCCATTTAACGATTCCTAGAGGATCAGTGTACCCAGATAATGAGATACATTGAGGTTGGGATACACGTTCCTTTGATATAGCTAATGTAACGTATTGATACCAGCAACAACTTGGGGTGTCGTACTATTCCTTTCCAGTATGCATGCATCCCACAAACGCAGACAATTATATTTTATATCGTCACATAAGATCCGGGTTCGATTCTCCAGGGTGGGTTCTCCATTGTGACAGGCAACCAGGATATTGCTGGCATATTGCTGAAAACAAGCGTAAAACCATATGCCGTCAACTCACCCTCCTGTTGGAGTCCACCAGACCTCGTCATCTCCATCCTCGGTCATGATGGTGGGACCAAATCCGGTAATTCGTACTTGCAGCAGGAAGGTTGAGGAGGATGTTCCTCGCCGCCAGGCGCCGATGTACGATCTGAGGTGGAGAAAACTATGTCGTTATTACTTCCACTGTTATTTTATCAGTAGTGAGTAGTGTAGTGGTAGTAGTAGTAGTAGTAGTAGCAGCAGCAGTAGTCAAAAGTACTAGTGGTGGTAGTGGTAGTGATGAGTATTGGTAGTAGTAGTAGTGGTAGCAGCAGCAGTAGTAGTAGTAGTAGTAGTAGTAGTAGTAGTAGCAGTAGTAGTAGTAGTAGTAGTAGTAGTTGTGGTGGTAGTAGTGAAGTAGTAGTAGTAGTAGTGAAGTAGTAGTATTAGTAGTGAGAGTAGTAGTTGATGTATTGGTTGTAGTTAGTAGTTGTGGTGTAGTGGTAGTGAGTAGTAGTGGCAGTTATTGGTGGAGTAGTGAGTAGTACTAGTGTAGAGTAGTAGTGTAGTAGTAGCAGTGGTAGTAGTGGTAGTGCACAGTGGTAATAGTGTAGTAGTAGTAATAGTGGTGGTAGTAGTGAGTGGTACTAGATGTGGTAGTAGTAGTGGCTGCAGTAGTGAGTAGTAGTGGGGAGGGTGGTGGTGGTGTAGTAAGTAGTGGTAGTGGTGGTAGTAGTGGTAGTAGGGTAGTGGTGGTAGTAGTAGTAGTAGCGGTAGTAGTTGAGTAGTCGAGTAGTGGTTGGCAAGAGGATGTAGTAGTAAGTAGTGTAGTAGTAGTAGCAGTGGTAGTAGTGAGTAGTGCAGTAGCGGTAACAGTGGTGGTAGTAATTTAGTGAGTGGTGGTGGCAGTGGTACAGCGGTGGTGTGTGAGTAGTAGTAGTGTTGAAGAGTGAGTGGTAGTAGTGGCGGTGGTAGTAGTGTAGTAGTAGTAGTAGTAGTGGTGGTGGTAGTAGTGAAATGGTACTAGTGTAGTAGTGGTAGTAGCTGCAGCATTAGTAGTAGTAGGAGGGTAGTAGTGGTGTGATGTAGTAGTAGTAGTAGTAGAGTAATACATGTAGTAGTAGTAGCAGTAGTAGTAGTAGTAGTAGTGGTGTGTAGTGTAGTGATATGTGTGGTGTAGTAGTAGCTAGTCTTAGTACTAGTGTAGTAGTAGTAGTAGCTGCAGCATTAGTAGTAGCAGGAGGAGGAGTGGTAGTGTAGTAGTAGTAGTAGTAGTAGTAGAAGTGTAGAAGTGTAGTAGTAGTAGTAGTAGTAGTGAAGTAATAGTAGTGTAGTAGTAGCAGTAGTAGTAGTAGTAGTAGTAGCAGCAGCAGCAGTAGTAGTAGTGGCAGGAGGAGTAGTGGTAGTAGTGAAGTAGTAGTAGTGTAGTAGTAGTGAAGTAGTACTAGTAGTAGTTGTAGAAGTGTAGTAGTAGTAGTGAAGTAGTAGTAGCAGTGGTAGTAGTAGTAGTGAAGTAGTAGTAGTGTAGTAGTAGTGAAGTAGTACTAGTGTAGTAGTTGTGTAGTAGTAGTAGTAGTGGCAGGAGGAGTAGTGGTAGTAGTGAAGTAGTAGTAGTAGTAGTAGTGAAGTAGTACTAGTAGTAGTTGTAGAAGTGTAGTAGTAGGAGCGAAGTAGTAGTAGCAGTGGTAGTAGTAGTAGTGAAGTAGTACTAGTGTAGTAGTTGTGTAGTAGTAGTAGTAGTAGTTGTAGTAGTAGTGAAGTAGTAGTAGTAGTAGTTGTAGAAGTGCAATAGTAGAAGTGAAGTAGTAGTAGCAGTGGTAGTAGTAGTAATGAAGTAGTAGTAGTGGTAGTAGTGTAGTAGTAGTAGTAGTAGTAGTAGTAGTAGTAATAGTAGTAGTAGTAGTAGTAGTAGTAGTAGTAGTAGTAGTAAACATCAGCTTCTCTCTGATGATTCCTGTGTTTGGGGATTCAATAGGAACAGTTCTGACCTATTGGGAAAGTAATATCTTACCTCCTCAAAGTAATGGTGGAATAGGTTTGATTTCCTATGTACATAATTATATGTACTTCAACTGCATATTTATCTGGTGTTGGAAAACACCTACTGATACTGTAATGCCATGTTAATGTAAACCTTTGGGGAACAGATCATCCTGTTCCAAGGGACAAAGACTGTTTAAATCGGTTTAAAGTAGACGCGTTCTTGTCATGAAATGAGATAACTGCCATACCCCAACTCGAGCCAGGTAGGCCATTCCTTGAACAACTCCATGTGCCATCTGGAACATCCGTTCCAGAACGTCATCACTCACTGACCCCTTCTGCTGGACCAGCCAGGGTCTCATTGGCCCCATCTCACAGTACTCCAACACCATCACCGGACCCCCTGAAAAGTATAGTCCAACCTCACAGTACTCCAACACCATCGCAGAACACCCTGAAACGTATAGACCATCTCACAGTACTCCAACACCATCACCGGACCCCCTAAAATGTATAGCCCATCTCACAGTACTCCAACACCATCACAGGACCCCCTAAAATGTATAGACCATCTCACAGTACTCCAACACCATCACCGGACCCCTGAAAAGTATAGTCTAACCTCACAGTACTCCAACACCATCACAGAACACCCTGAAACGTATAGACCATCTCACAGTACTCCAACACCATCACCGGACCCCTTGACATGTATAGACCACCTCACAGTACTCCAACACCATCACCGGACCCCCTGAAATGTATAGACTATCTCACAGTACTCCAACACTATCACCGGAGCCCCTGAAATGTATAGACCATCTCACAGTACTCCAACACCATCACCGGACCCCCTAAAATGTATAGACCATCTCACAGTACCCAACACTATCACCGGACCTTAGCAATATAGACCTGACATCTCACTGTTTTCTAGGACTATCGGTGGACCCACTGAAGTACGAGTCTCTAATCTTACTGGGAACATATTTACCCGGATTGTGAAATATTGGCCTCCATATCTTACTGTACACACTATCCCTATCCCTATCCGTGGTACTTTTGATATACAGATCCTCTTACCTACCCTCGTACCAATTGACATGGACTCCAAATTATATAAAACTTACAAACATCATTGTCTACGACAGCGCCGATCATTCTGAGGATATTGCGGTGTTCTCCCACCTCATTCAGGTAAAAGAGGATCTTGCCTTTCATCAGCTGGCGGTCTTCATCGTCATAGTTCTCTGTAGAAATGTACAACGTGATTCAGTCATCCCTGTATTTCATACTTTTGCTTTTTAGAGTGGTTTAGTTTCGTTCAGCTGTCAGATTATATGTAATTAATCTGTACACGTAGTGCCATTGACATGTAATATATGATGTTCCTTTTTCAAACGTTTTGAAGTATTAAAAAAACGCAGGTGAAATGCACGTTACGCCATACAAACAGTTGTCATGGTAACCTTTCAGCATCTTGGCGACGACAGTCTCGGCGTTACCGCCAGCTCGTGAGAGGGTTGCCTTGTAGATCTTAGCGAACTTCCCTTCGGTTATGAGAGTGTCGAGTGCTAGTCTCGCTGCAGACAGCTGCTTTCCTATTGGGATGTCGTAGTCGTTGCCACTGTACACGTAAATGTCGTCATCGACAGCCGTGCCTCGCACCTGCAATTATTCATCGAGGCATGGTCGCTAGAATGAGAATACTCTACTGCAAACAATGATCACAGCTAGTTAGAGTAAGAATGACAGTTACAGAAACCCTTTGTTGCCGGCTCAGTGTAAAATGAACGCACGGCGCTGTCACAAACTGTGCGAATTTACACTTACTGAAATTTCTAATTAGTCTGAATCTGGATAACAGAAATCTGGTCGCATATGCGGTCAGTGAAGTTCCAGAAATTACAGAGTGTTTGACACAAGTGTACATAGGAAAAGGTAAATCGGGTAAATGAATTATACAAACCTTTCTGGACATGCGAGCGAAAGCGTTAGCCGCTTCGGTTCGAGGTTTGGCTTCCTTCTTGCCCCGCATGACAGCAATGATGCCAAGATGCCACAGAAGGAACGCGGCGACCGCGATCACCACCAGCAGGATAACACCTGAACAAAAGATACCCCTCACATACAGAGTGCATGAGCGAGCGTGGTAACAGTAGTCGGACATTATTCTTGAGTTATGAGGAAAGCCCCAGGTGATTCATGAATACGTCCTGTACGTTCATTACGTTATTGAAGCCTGGCATATGGACAAGATGACCCAGGGAAACTAATCAGGACCGAACCTGAAGAATTCTGGACATGTCGCACAACCTGAGGTAATCATAACGACATTTTATACTGGTAAGTTACATTCTGACTCATTTTTATGTACAATCACGGAAAAGTAGTTAGCCACCATGCAGACTGATCTTTAGAGCTAAAACAGAACAATACGTTCTCATCGCCCACATGCAGACTGATGTGCAGAACTAAAACAGAACAATACGTTCTGATCGCCTCCATGCAGAATGATGTGCAGAACTAAAACAAGACAATACGTATTGATCGCTTACATGCAGAATGATGTGCAGCACTAAAACAGGACAATACGTTCTGATCGCAACATGCAGACTGATATGCAGCACTAAAACAGGACAATACGGATTGATCGCTTACATGCAGACTGATGTGCAGCACTAAAACAGGACAATACGTTCTGATCGCTTACATGCAGAATGATGTGCAGCACTAAAACAGAACAATACGTATTGATCGCTTACATGCAGACTGATGTGCAGCACTAAAACAGGACAATACGTATTGATCGCTTACATGCAGACTGATATGCAGCACTAAAACAGGACAATACGTATTGATCGCTTACATGCAGACTGATGTGCAGAGCTAAAACAGGACAATACGTATTGATCGCTTACATGCAGACTGATGTGCAGCACTAAAACAGGACAATACGTATTGATCGCCTCCATGCAGACTGATCTTTAGAGCTAAAACAGAACAATACGTTCTGATCGCAACTTGCAGACTGATGTGCAGCACTAAAACAGAACAATACGTTCTGATCGCAACATGCAGACTGATGTGCAGAACTAAAACAGGACAATACGTATTGATCGCAACATGCAGACTGATATGCAGCATTAAAACAGGACAATACGTATTGATCGCAACATGCAGAATGACGTGCAGCACTAAAACAGAACAATACGTATTGATAGATTACATGCAGACTGATGTGCAGCACTTAAACAGGACAATACGTTCTGATCGCAACATGCAGACTGATGTGCAGCACTAAAACAGGACAAAACGTATTGATCGCCTCCATGCAGACTGATGTGCAGCGTTAAAACAGGACAATACGTATTGATCGCTTACATGCAGAATGATGTGCAGCACTACAACAGAACAATACGTATTGATCGCTTACATGCAGAATGATATGCAGCACTAAAACAGGACAATACGGATTGATCGCAACATGCAGAATGATGTGCAGCACTAAACAGAACAATACGTATTGATCGCTTACATGCAGACTGATGTGCAGCACTAAAACAGAACAATACGTATTGATCGCTTACATGCAGAATGATATGCAGCACTAAAACAGGACAATACGTATTGATCGCTTACATGCAGACTGATGTGCAGCACTAAAACAGAACAATACGTTCTGATCGCAACATGCAGACTGATATGCAGCACTAAAACAGGACAATACGTACTGATCGCCACGCCGGCTATCCCTCCAGCACCGAGGCCTGTGAACGTTGGGGTCTGTCCTGTTAACAAAATACAGATAGCGTTGTACGTCATGCCAGACACAGGGTAGAGACAGGATACAGATAGTATTGTACGTGATGTCAGACACAGGGTAGAGACAGGATACATATAGTGATGTACGCGATGTCAAACACAGGTTAGAAACAGGACACAGATAGTGGTATCCTTGATGTCAGACACAGGGTAGCGACGGGATACATATAATGTTATACGTGTTGTCAGACACAAAGTAGAGACAGGATACAGATAGTGTTATACGTGATGTCAGACACAGGGTAGAGACAGGATACAGATAGTGTTGTATCTGATGTGAGACACAGGGTAAAGACAGAATACAGATAGTGTTGTATGTGATGTGAGACAAAGGGTAGAGACGGGATACAGATGGTGTTGTCCGTGATGTTAGACACAGGTGAGACACAGGATACAGATAGTGATGTGTGTGATGTGACACACAGGGTAAAGACAGGATACAGATAGTGTTGTCCGTGATGTGAGAAACAGGGTAGAGACGGGTAGAGACAGGGTACAGATAGTGCTGTACGTAGTGTCAGACACTGGGAACAGGCATGATACGGATAGTGTTGTACATGATGTCAGACACAGAGTAGAGACAGGATGGTTATCGTGTTGTACGTGATGTCAGACACAGGGTAGAGACAGGGTACAGATAGTGATGCATGTGATGTGAGACACAGGGTAGAGAATGGATACAGAAATTGTTGTCCGTGATGTCAGACACAAGGTAGATTCGGGATACAGATAGTGGTATACTTGATGTAAGGCACAGGGTAGAGACAGGATACAGATAGTGTTTTACGTGATGTCAGAAACAGGGTACAGACAGGATGGATATAGTGTTGTACGTGATGTCAGACACATGTTAGAGACGGGATACAGACAGTTTTATACGTGATATCAGACACAAGGTAGAGACAGGATAGATATAGTGTTGTACGTGATGTCAGAAACAGGGTAGAGACAGGATGGATATAGTGTTGTACGTGATGTCAGACACAGGGTAGAGACAGGATACAGATAGTGTTATACGTGATATCAGACAAAAGGTAGAGACAGGATACATGTAGTGTTGTACGTGATGCCAGACACAGGGTAGAGACAGGATACATATAGTGTTGTACGCGATGTCAGACAGAGGGTAGAGACGGGATACAGATAGTGTTGTACGTGATGTCAGAAACAAGGTAGAAACAGGATAAATAGAGTGGTATACGTGATGTCAGACACATGTTAGAGACACGATACAGATAGTGCTGTATGTGATGTCAGACACAGGTTAGAGACAGGACACAGATAGTGGTATACTTGATGTCAGACACAAGGTAGCGACGGGGTACATATAATGGTTTACGTGTTGTCAGACACAAAGTAAAGACAGGATACAGATAGTGTTGTACGTGATGTCAGACACAGGGTAGAGACAGGATACAGAGAGTGTTGTACGTGATGTCAGACACAGGGTAGAGAAAGGATAGGTATGTTGTTTTATGCTATGGCAGACATAGGGTAGGCACAGGTTACAGATAGTGTTATACATGATATCAGACACAGGGTAGACACAGGATACAGATAGTGTTGTACGTGATGTCAGACACATGTTAGAGACACGATACAGATAGTGTTGTATGTGATGTCAGACACAGGGTAGAGAAAGGATAGATATAGTGTTGTATGCTATGCCAGACACAGTGTAGAGACAGGATACAGATAGTGTTGTACGCAGTGTGAGACACAGGGTAGAGATAGGATACAGAGAGTGTTGTACGCAGTGTCAAACACAGGGTAGAGATAGGATACAGAGAGTGTTGTACGCAGTGTCAGACACAGGGTAGAGACAGCATGCAGAGAGTGTTGTGCGTGGTGTCAGACACAGGTAGAGATAGGATAGAGCTAGTCTTATAACTGATGTCAGACACAGGGTAGAGATAGGATACAAATAGTGTTGTATGTGATGTGAGGCACAGGGTAGAGACAGTATTCAGATAGTGTTGTATCGGATGTCAGACACAGGGTAGAGACAGGGTACAGATAGTGCTGTACGTAGTGTCAGACACTGGGAAGAGGCATGATACAGATAGTGTTGTACGTAATGTCACACACAGGGTAGAGACAGGATGAATATAGTGTTGTGCGTGATGTCAGACACAGGGTAGTAACAGGATACAGATAGTGATGTATGTGATGTGAGACACAGGTTAGACACAGGATACAGATAGTGATGTGTGTGATGTGAGACACAGAGTAAAGACATGATACAGATAGTAGTATACGTGATGTCAGAAACAGGGTAGAGACGGGATACAGATAGTGGTATACGTGATGTCAGACACAAGGTAGAGACGGGATACAGATATTGGTATACGTGATGTAAGACACAGGGTAGATATAGGATACAGATATTGTTGTACGTGATGTCAGACACTGGGTAGAGGCATTATACAGATAGTGTTTTACATGATGTCAGACACAGGGTAGAGAGAGGATGGTTATAGTGTTGTGCGTGATGTCAGACACAAGGTAGAGACAGGATACAGATAGTGATGTATATGATTTGAGACACAGGGTAGAGACAGGATACAGATAGTGATGTATGTGATGTAAGACATAGGGTAGAGACAGTATTCAGATAGTGTTGTATCGGATGTCAGACACAGGGTAGAGACAGGGTACAGATAGTGTTGTACGTAGTGTCAGACACTGGGAAGAGGCTTGATACAGATAGTGTTGTACGTAATGTCACACACAGGGTAGAGGCAGGATGGATATAGTGTTGTGCGTGATGTAGACACAGGGTAGTGACAGGATACAGATAGTGTTGTCCGTGATGTTAGACACAGGTGAGACACAGGATACAGATAGTGATGTGTGTGATGTGACACACAGGGTAAAGACAGGATACAGATAGTGTTGTCCGTGATGTGAGAAACAGGGTAGAGACGGGATACAGATTGTGGTATACGTGATGTCAGACACAAGGTAGAGACGGGATGCAGATAGTGGTATACGTGATGTAAGACACAGGGTAGATATAAGATACAGATAGTGTTGTACTTGATGTCAGACACTGGGTAGAGGCATTATACAGATAGTGTTGTACGTGATGTCAAACACATGGTAGAGACAGGATGGTTATAGTGTTGTACGTGATGTCAGACACAGGGTAAAGACAGGGCACAGATAGTGTTGTATGTGATGTGAGACACAGGGTAGAGACAGGATACAGATACTGTTGTAAGTGATGTCAGACACAAGGTAGAGACAGGATACAGATAGTGTTGTCCGTGATGTCAGATACAAGGTAGAGACAGGATACAGATAGTGGTATACGTGATGTAAGACACAATTTAGATACGGGATACAGACAGTTTTATATGTGATGTCAGACACAAGGTAAAGACAGGATAGATATAGTGCTGTACGTGATGTCAGACAGGGTACAGACAGGATGGATATAGTGTTGTACGTGATGTCCAGACTCAGGAGTAGAAGACAGTACAGATAGTGTTATACTTGATGTCAGAAAGAAAGGTAGAGATAGGATACATATACTGTTGTACGTGATGTCAGACACAGATTACAGACAGGATTCAGATAATGTTACGTGATGTCCAGACACAGAGGTAGAGACAAGATGGATATAGTGTTGTACGTGATTGTCAGACACAGGGTAGAGACAGGATACAGATAGTGTTGTATGTGATGTGAGACGCAGGGTAGAGACATGGTACATATACTTTTCTGCGTGATGTAAGAGACAGGGTAGATACAGGATAGACATAGTTGTGTACGTTATGTCAGAAACAGGGTAGAGACAGAATACAGATAGCTTTGTACGTGATGTCAGACATAGTGTAGAGACAGGATACAGATAGTGTTGTAAGTGATGTCAGACACAGGGTAGATACAGGATGCAGACAGTGTTGTATGCTATGCCAGACACAGTGTAGAGACAGGATACAGATAGTGTTGTACGCAGTGTGAGACACAGGGTAGAGATAGGATACAGAGAGTGTTGTACGCAGTGTCAACCACAGGGTAGAGATAGGATACAGAGAGTGTTGTACGCAGTGTCAGACACAGGGTAGAGACAACATGCAGAGAGTGTTGTGCGTGGTGTCAGACACAGGTAGAGATAGGATAGAGCTAGTCTTATACCTGATGTCAGACACAGGGTAGAGATAGGATACAAATAGTGTTGTATGTGATGTGAGGCACAGGGTAGAGACAGTATTCAGATAGTGTTGTATCGGATGTCAGACACAGGGTAGAGACAGGGTACAGATAGTGCTGTACGTAGTGTCAGACACTGGGAAGAGGCATGATACAGATAGTGTTGTACGTAATGTCACACACAGGGTAGAGACAGGATGGATATAGTGTTGTACGTGGTGCCAGACACAGGGTAGAGACAAGATACAGGTAGTGTTGTACGTGATGTGAGACACAGGGTAGAGACAGTTTACACATATTGATATATGTGATGTTAGACACAGGGTAGAGACAGGATACAGCTAGTGGTGTCCATGATGTCAGAAACAGGGTAGAGACGGGATTCAGATAGTGGTATACGTGATGTCAGACACAAGGTAGAGACGGGATACAGATATTGGTATACGTGATGTAAGACACAGGGTAGATATAGGATACAGATATTGTTGTACGTGATGTCAGACACTGGGTAGAGGCATTATACAGATAGTGTTGTACGTAATGTCAGACACAGGGTAGAGAGAGGATGGTTATAGTGTTGTGCGTGATGTCAGACACAAGGTAGAGACAGGATACAGATAGTGATGTATGTGATTTGAGACACAGGGTAGAGACAGGATACAGATAGTGGAATACGTGATGTAAGACACAGGGTTGAGACAGTATTCAGATAGTGTTGTATCGGATGTCAGACACAGGGTAGAGACAGGGTACAGATAGTGTTGTACGTAGTGTCAGACACTGGGAAGAGGCTTGATACAGATAGTGT